TTCCCTTTCCATATTCCATGCACTCACATTGGTGGAGATGAGGGGCACCTTTGATTGTCCCTGGGGAGTGCTTGGATTTGGGATTTCGGTTTAAATTTAGCTTTTGCATTGTCTAGATCTAGCTTTTTCCATTTCCTTTCTTTTGTTCTTTCCTTTCAGGATTTTGGTTTAGATCTAGCTTTTTGCATTGTCTAGATCTACCATTTCTTTCCAGCTTTTTGTCATTTCTCTTCTTTTGCTCTTTCTTTTTCATTCATTTTCATGGCCGATCCGCAATCTCCTCCTTTGACTCTAGAGCAACAGTTGGTTCAATTGCTTGATGCTATGCGCTTGCAATTGAACAACCAAACTCAGTTGATGGCGGCATTCACGGCACATGGTACAACTCCTCTTGCTTTTGGTGCCAATCCTCGCGTTCGGCCGGAGTTCTTTCATGGGAATCCTGGGGATGATGTGTACCATTGGTTCGATCACTTCACGGTGATTGCCACATATCATTCTTGGGATGATGCTCGACGTTTGCGTGAGTTCCCCACATGTCTCCAGGGGACGGCATTGCAGTGGTACAATGGATTGAGCGCAGCTACTCGTGGCGATTGGAGTGTTCTTCCGGACGTCTTCAAACGCGCCTTCGGACACGCCGACGATTGTGATGATGCCTTCCAACAATTGCATCGTCTTCGCCAAGGGCCATCTGAGTCAGTGATGCAATTTGGTGTTCGTTTCCGAAGTCTTTTGCTTCGTGCGGAGCCAAATATGTCGGAGCGGATCAAGCTAGGAATGCTGTGGCCAGCACTTCGTCAAGATCTTGTCGGACTTGTGCATGCACTTGCTCCTGCCACTCTTGACGATGCTCTTCGCTTGGCACAACGTTATGAGACGTCGCCTCTTCCACTTCTTGCTACACGTCCTTCAACTCCACTTCCTATGAGTGATGGTCCTGTTCCCATGGAGGTTGATGCTGCTGCTACTCGAGTCCAAGGACAAGGGCGAGGACGTGGTCGTGGCCGTGACCTTCGTTGCTGGGCATGTGATGAAGTTGGTCATACTTATCAGCGTTGTCGGCGCTTTCCGGATTGGCGACCTCCATTTCCTGGGTGGAGACCTTGGCGTCAGCAACATCCCGTTGGTGCTGCTGCGGTGGAAGGTTTGGATACCGAGGTGCATTCGGGAAACGAGGAGTCGCACGAGTAATGGAGGGACCTTGCGCGAATAAGTTAGTGACCCCTCCATCTTTCTTTCGGGAGTATCATCAAGGGGTTCACTCGGCACCGGTTCATCCAGTGTTTACTTTCCAAGCTCGTTTTTATAACAAGAGGTCTCCTATTCTTCTCTCCGTGTTGGTTGATACAGGTTCGAGTTTATTTTCTATTGCTCAACCTGTTGCCACACGTTGTCATCTACACTTGCATCGTGCGGCGGATCCAGTTTTCATTCTTTATGGCAACGGCCGTACACATGCATGTGCACGAGATGAGGCGGACCTGGTTGTGCGTGTGGGCGATCTGGAGCTTGAGTTGCAGTCGTTGCGGGTGGTGCCGAGTCAAGCTTTTGACCTCATTCTTGGTATGGATTGGTTGCAGCACAATCATGCCAAGTGTGACTTTGAGGCTTCTCCCCCTTGTCTTATACTTCCTTATGTTTCATCCATTCCTCTCACTTCCGTACCTCTTCGTCCCTCTACTTCTACCTCTGCTTCCATTACTTTTGTTCCCCCACTATTTCCTCTTGTGTTTCCATCTTGTTCTACTCTTCCCTTTTCCGATCCCTCTGATGATCTTTGTGTTGCAGCTGTTGACCAGCTCATGAAGGAGTATTCTGATCTCTTTGAATTTGACCTATCGTCTGGGGCCAAGATTGCCACACGTCATCCCATTCCAACTAGGGATGCTCGTCCAATCAAGGTTCCTGTTCGTCGTCGGTCACCCAAGGAGATCAAGATTTTACGTGCAAACGTCAAGGAGATGTTGGAGAAGGGTGTTATTCGGAAGTCGCGGAGTCCTTGGGCATGTGAACCTCATCTTGTGACGAAGCCTGATGGGAGTATTCGTTTCTGCATCGACTATCGTCCGTTAAATGAAGTGACGATCCCGGACGTGTACCTTCTTCCTCACACTGCTGATCTCTTGGATCGTCTGGGGCGAAGTCGTTGGTTCACCAAGCTAGATCTTGCTTCTGGGTATTGGCAAGTACCGTTGGCTAAAGAAGATATTCCTAAGACTGCTTTTCGTACACCATTTGGTTTGTACGAGTTTTTGGTGATGCCGTTTGGTTTGAACAATGCTCCAGCAACTTTTCAGCGGATGATGGACGAGGTTCTTTGCGATATGCCGGAGGTGACGGCTGACTTCATTGATGATGTCTTGATCCACTCGGAGGGGACGTGGGAGGAGCATGTTCGTGATGTTTGTAAAGTGTTGGATCGGCTACGCGATGTTGGTTTAAAGCTGAAGCGGTCGAAGTGCGTGTTTGGGTCCAAGGACACAACTTATCTTGGGTACCGTATTTCTCGTGAGGGTTTGCAAGTTGATCCTGACAAACTTGTGGCTGTTCTAAAGTTCCCTACTCCGAAGTGTGTGAATGATGTGCAACGCTTTTTGGGTAAGGTGCAGTATCTCGGTCGTTTTGTGGATCATCTTTCCGATCTCACTACACCATTGCGAGCGTTGCTGAAGTCATCAACGTCATCTTTCATCTGGTCTCCCGATTGTGAGCGGGCGTTCGTGAATCTCAAAGAGCTATTGACGACTCCTCCGGTTTTGGCATATCCTGATTACACTCGACCTTTTATTTTGCGCGTGAATGCTTCTGACATTGGTCTTGGAGGTGTGTTGATGCAAGAGAGCTCGAGTGTGCCTGGTCAATGCCATCCCATTGCATATATAAGCCGTACATTACAACCAGCGGAGATGAACTACTCCACGACGGAGAAGGAGTGTTTAGCAGCAGTCTGGGGTTTCGAGAAACTTCATGCATATTTACATGGTTCTCGGACGTTACTTGAAGGTGACCATGCTGCTGTTACTTCATTATTGAAGCGGAAGAACCTGGTTGGTCGTACGGCTCGATGGGCTTTGAAGCTTCAGATATATGATTTCAATGTTGTTCATCGCCCAGGGAGTTCTATGGCTGATGCTGATGCCCTTTCTCGAGCTCCTCTTCCTTCTCCATTCACTTCTCATGTTTCTGACGAACCTGTTGTTCCAGCATCTGTGGATTTTCTAGATGAGGATTCTGTGCCGTCGGCGGTTGCTGTCCTTGACGTTCAGTGTCCACAGGGCGTAGAGCAAGATCTACCTTCTCTGGATGAGGTTCGCGAGGCTCAAAAGATTGAGTCGTGGATTCGAAGGCTTCGAGATGGGTTTGAGAATCCTGCATCACTTGCTGATGACTTGCCTTTTCGGCATTTACATTCTCAATATCGCCTTGAAGATGACCTTCTTTATTTTGTGGGGACGGATCCTGATGATCATTTACGGCTGGTGGTGCCTTCGGTGTTTATTCCGCGGTTTCTCCATGCCTACCATGATTCTCCTATTCTAAGTGGGCATATGGGACACCGTCGTGTCACCGAGAAGCTGCGCAGATTTTTCTATTGGCCAAAGATGCGACGTGATATTATCCGGTATGTGCGTAGCTGCGTTTGGTGCCAAGCTCGTAATACTCCCCCTTGTGCTGCGGAAGGACGGTTGGAGTCAATTGCAGTTTCTCGTCCATTTGAGTTGGTGGCGTTTGATCTTATGGGACCTTTTCCGCGATCGACTGCTAGCAATGAGTATGTTATTATTGCTTCTGACTACTTGACTCGTTGGGTGGAAGTTGGTGCTCTTGCTAGTGCCTCTGCAACTGCTGTTGGATACTTCCTCCTCAATCGAGTGGTATTCCAGCATTCTTGTCCAGAGCGGATTCTTTCGGATAATGGTCCTGCATTTATGGCTGAGGTATTTCATGTTTTGACATCTCGGTTGGGGATACGCCACACTTTTACGAGTGCTTATCATCCACAATCAGACGGTCTGGTGGAACAGCTCGTTCGGACATTCAAAGGGATGATTGCGAAGTATGTGAACTTTCAACATTCGGATTGGGATGGTTATTTGCCGTCTCTTCGGTATGCTTATGTCACAGGGGTGCAGAGTTCTGTTGGTGCTTCACCATATAAACTTCTATATGGTCATGATCCAATATTACCAACAGAGCTGGGTTTACCTTCGCGATTGCCACGAGCTCCTGATGTTAGGTCATGGGATCAATATTTGACAAGCATTCTTCCACTTGTCCGAGCAGAGTCTGCTGAACACTTAGGCCGCGTACAAGTGGGACAACAACGGCGCTACAATTCCCATCATTGTCCACCTGCGGAGTACAAAATGGATGATTTGGTGTTAGTCCGTTTTCCCCATCTTACGGTACGTGGTTTATCTAAGGGGCTCCTTGCGCAGTGGAAAGGACCGTATCGGGTGTTGCGGCAAGTTGGACCACAAGTTTATGAGGTTCGGCATGACGTTCAGCAGGCCGATCCTCCGAAGATTGTGCATGTGCAGCGGTTAAAACGCTTCATACAAAGGGATCAGGAGCAGTTAATACTGTCTACAGATCCACCGATGCCTCCTCCTGACGTTCCTCCAGATCCCGGCCCATCGACAAGAGAACCCTGACGGCCTTCCATTATTCCGAGAGGAGGGGATGATGTGAGGGCCAAGTGTACGGCTACGATGCCGTATACTAATATTAGCGTAGTGGATTTTGGTAGCCGTCGGATTGGTTTCAATCCGGACCACTCGCTCTTGTATATAAGCTAGGGTTTTTGAGCTAATTGATATGCACATTTCTGTATTCTCTTTCCATATTCCATGCACTCACAAATATAATTTTAACAAAATGCATCATTTTAAATATTTGGAATTTTATTACCTTTTAATTAGAATATGCTTAAGAATTTGGTTTCTCATGTACTGCATCCGTACAAAAGTATATATGTATTTGGATATGCCGCAGGGGGAAGAGAAAGAGAGGATTGCGTGCTGGGATTGTTGGTTTTTGCGCTTTCTTAGGGTTTGTAGCTGCGGCTAGGGCGCTCCATGCTAGATCTACAGGTATGTGCCGCAGCTCCGCCGATCTAGGCTCGTCTTTAGGAATGCCAGCGATCTCCCCAGACTGCGGCGCCCGCCCGGCGCCCAGCTTGCTCTAGTTGCTAGGGGTTTCGGTCGGGCAGAGGGATGGGGCCTCTCTGTTCGCCGTGAAACCGGCTTCTTCCACCAGGGGAAAGGAAAATGAAGATCTATTGCCGGAGATCAGAGCAGATCATCGTGGTCGTCGTGTTTGCGGGATTAATTGGAGTTCTCGCATTGGCTCTGGACGATTTTCCTGTTCCTAGACAAGGTAAAGTAGAGTGATTTCTTCCTTGTCGCTTTTTTTTTTTGTGCTTGAAGTGGCTAAGTGTCACGCTTGCTGTTTTCTTCTAGATCATACGCGCAGGTGGCTGCTCCAAGGTGTCAATGACACAGGCTTTTCAACGAACGCGCCGTCTGTGTCACCCACCGTGGCTGCTCCACCCGGAAAGTCGCCCTCTCCTGGTATGCATTCTTCTTTCTTTTTCTCATCTTTTTTGCCGACACTTTTTAGTGTCATCCAGGCTGCTGTGTGGACAATATGATGAACAGACCCGGTGGCGAGACTTGCTCCTGTGTCTATCCGATAGAGATCGGGCTACTTCTCGACAATGTGTCGTCCAACTTCATTAACTCCACCGTCGCCTTCCAGCACCAGCTCGCGTCCCAGCTCAAGCTCCAAGACCCGCAAGTGGTGATTACAGCATTCTATTATATTACTACCAGTGAGCTCAATATGTCCATTTATCTAGGCCCCCTGGTCGGTGTTAGTTTCTCATCCCAAGAGGCTACAAGCGTCAAGGCTTCTTTGGATGCTCACAAGGTTCGTTTCAACTCTTCTCTTGTGGGAAACTACACGCTTCTTCGTTTCAACCTTTTTGGCCCGGAACCTGGTAAGCTTGACGTGCTCTTTTGTGCATTAACTTATCGCCGTGTATTTGTTTTGTACGTGCAGTGTCTCCATCGCCCTCACCAGTTTTTGCACCTTCCCCATCAAGAAATCAGCCTCTATCGACGCCCACCAACAACCAATCCTCCGCTTCTGAAAGGCCCAAAGGGAAGGTTCGGCTGGGAATTATACTAGGAGTTGGTATTGCAATAGTGGCTTTGCTCTGCCTTTCTATACTATTCATTCGTAAACTGGCTCCTGGAAACAAAGAATCTGAAGAGAAGGCAAGCTTGACCAAGTCAGGTTGGTTCTCTAAACTAATAGTTCTGCAATTTTTAATTTTCTTTCATGCAGGTCACACGTCCTCTTTTACTAAAGCATCGGACCCTCCTCAAATGCTCTCTTTGTTAACTCGTCCAACAAGCACGCGAATATTTTCCTACGAGGATCTCAAAGAAGCAACGAATGGCTTTGATCCGGCTAACTTGTTAGGCGAAGGCGGCTTTGGACGTGTGTACCGAGGGAACTTGAAAGATGGAATGGCAGTAGCGATCAAGAGGCTCAGCAGTGGTGGTCATCAAGGCGATAAAGAGTTTTTGGTGGAGGTGGAAATGCTAAGCAGATTACACCATAGACATCTCGTGAAACTTGTCGGGTTTTTCAGTAGCCGGGATTCCTCACAGCATCTTCTCTGCTACGAACTTGTTCCTAATGGAAGTTTGGAGTCGTGGCTTCACGGTATGGATTTCGTGCTTGCAAGATCTATATTGTGCTAACATTACTCTCAGGACGACTTGGTGCAAACAACCCACTAGACTGGGATACACGAATGAAAATCGCAATCGGTGCAGCGAGAGGGCTGGCGTATCTACATGAAGACTGTCAACCTTGCGTTATTCACAGGGATTTCAAGGCTTCAAACATATTATTGGAAGACAACTTCCAAGCGAAAGTTGCCGATTTTGGTCTTGCCAAGCAGGCTCCGGAAGGACAAACAAGCTACGTCTCGACCCGGGTCATGGGAACTTTCGGGTAGGAATCTCTTTTTCGTATTCGCTACTACTGATGTTTCTTTGCACAGATATGTTGCTCCAGAGTACGCGATGACTGGACACTTACTTGTGAAAAGCGACGTCTACAGCTATGGCGTAGTCTTGCTTGAGTTGCTCTCCGGGAGAAAGCCCGTGGACATGGCACAGCCTACCGGCCAAGAGAATCTAGTCACCTGGGTGAGAAAGTGCATGGTTTTCGCTTTTACTTTTAGTGCTAACGATCATTCTCAGGCACGGCCTGTGCTCAAGGATGTCGATCACATCTACGACCTCGCAGATCCCCGACTAAACGGCCAGTACCCGCGGGAGGACTTCGCACAAGTTGCTGCGGTAGCTGCTGCTTGCGTCGCCCCGGAAACGAACCAGAGACCAACGATGGGCGAGGTGGTCCAGTCTCTCAAGATGGTGCAGCACAGCAACGAGTACACGCACAGCGGCGAGAGGGAAAACATGACGGTGGAGACCCCGGTGTCCCCGAGCATGTCGGACGGGACGTTTGCGACGAGCTGGCACAACCACAACACCCGGCAGACGTCGGCAACGTTTGAGTCGGATGGTACGTCGTCCTTCTTCTCCTCGGGCCCCTTCTCAGGCTTGGCAGCGCTGGACGAAGGCGAAGACGCGCAGCGCGGGCCGACCATGTCCGAGGATCTCCTCGAGGGAAGGTGATATGGATTGGTTTGTATGTAACTAATGCCATTCCTGGGAATAACAGTGGTCGAACTGATGGAAGCACAGTCTTCTCGGATTTTTCTAAGACCTTGAAAACGAGTCATTTACAGAGATTCTTCTTCCAAAGAGTAGGAGCTTTCCTTTGTCGTGAGATCTACGCTTGACGTTCCTGGCAGGGATTCGAGAACTATGGACTGGGTCGCAGAGAGGAGAAGAGAACACGGGGAAAAGAGTCAAGAAAAGACTGTAGGTTGTCGTCACTATGAGAGTGATCAATCGAGACAACCCACTCGATCGGTCAGGAGAAGCTTTCAATTGCCCTGTGGTCCATCCTCTTCTCCATGGATGGGGATCCACACTCGCGTGGACTTTACAGCACGAGCTCGTGCGATTTAAACACCATTTTCCCCGGCATTGACGATCATCGCAGCGAAGATCATGGCGAGCTCAGTCGCCAGTCCCCTGTTTTTCAAGAGGATTTGCTTGAGGAGCCCGGCGACGAGGAAGGCGATCAACAAACTCAAGATCACGGTGGTGTGCGGGGTCCTGACGATCCTAATGCTGCGAGGATCGATCGGAGCGGGCGAATTCGGCACGCCTCAGAAGGATTTCCACGAAATCCAGAGGCGCGTTCTCCGCGGTTTGGATCACTCTAGTCGAGCAATTCGCGGTGATCAATCGATCATTCCGTCGCTCCCTGGTGTGGATCACTCTAGAATAGCTTCCCAATCGATCGAGGCGAAGATCGAGCAGCATCCTTACAGATTGGGTCCAAAGATCAGCGACTGGGACGAGCAGAGGTCCAAATCGATCCAATCGCGGCCCACAAAGCTCCTCATGGTCACTGGATCGCAGCCCAATCCCTGCGACAACCCCACCGGCGACAATTTCCTGCTGCGATCGCTCAAGAACAAGATGGACTACGCACGGCTCCACGAAATCGAGGTGTTTTACAACACCGCCACCATGGACGACCAGCTCACGGGGTTTTGGGCCAAGCTGCCGCTCCTCCGCCGTCTGATGCTCGCGCGCCCGGAGATCGAATGGCTGTGGTGGCTCGACAGCGATGCCGTCGTCACAGACATAGCCTTCCAGATACCCCTGGCCAAGTACGCTGGTCACAATCTTGTGCTGCACGGATGGGCCTCCGAGGTGTACGTCACGGGCAGCTGGCTGGGTCTAAACACGGGCAGCTTTCTCATCCGGAATTGCCAGTGGTCGCTCGACCTTCTGGACGCCTGGGCGCCAATGGGGCCAAAAGGGACGGTCAGGATCAAGGCCGGTGAAATTCTGTCCCAGAATCTCCGGAATCGTCCGGTCTTTGAGGCCGACGATCAGTCCGCCCTCGTCTTTCTGCTCCGGAATAACCAGCAGATGTGGGGAGAGCGCGTGTTCTTGGAGAACTCGTATTACTTGCATGGCTACTGGGTGGCGCTGGTGGACCGATACGAGGAGATCATGGAGAAGAACCAGCCCGGGCCTGGAGACGAGCGCTGGCCCTTTGTGACGCATTTTGTGGGATGCAAGCCCTGCGGGAAGGATCCGGCGTACCCCGAAGAGAAATGCCGGGTGGGAATGGAGAGAGCTCTAAACTTCGGTGATAATCAGGTGCTCGCGAGGTATGGGCTTCGTCACAAACATCTCGGGACAACGGAGACGATCAATCTCGATAGTTCCTGAGACAAAAATCTAAGTTTTAAGGGTTCTAGGGGCAAATCATCCATGGATAAGGGCACTGCACGAGCCACAGGCATGATTTGCGCCATGCTACACGAGGTAAGAGAGCAAGATCCGTCGCTGCAAAAGGATGTTGGAGATCATCTCTCACTGCCGGAGCCAAACGCCCAAGATCAGATTGGAGACAATCAAAGTGCGATTGGAAAGGAGGCGCTGGTAATCTGGGCTTTGGACAAGGCTATGCCTGCGTGGAAATCGAGCTTGCCTCTGGATGTCTATACGAGAGTGTGGCTTGGGTTAAGGTGGTTCCTTGGGATGCATAGGCACAAGCAAGCTGTGACAACCCTTCTCAAGCATCACTATTAAAATTCCATCTGATCATTTTGCTCTCAGCTGATTGAGTTTGAGCTGACCATATGAAAGACAAAGCAAGCTTCTGGGCTTTTGACGTAGGTTGTATTTTCTGTTGAGAGCTCCATGGCGATGGTTGCATCGTTCCATCCAGCGAAGATTTGCAGGAAAGAGACGCATTCGCGGCTGCTCTGCGAAACTGCGGAGAGCACAGATCTCTGCGATCAAACGTCTTCGATCCGTCATAACTCTCCGCCAAGGGAGGATCACTAGGGAGATCTTTGATGGAGAGATGTGGTGAGCTGTCTCGGGTTACTATCACAGGATGGAGACCAAGAAGCTGTCGATACCTCTTCCAGAGAATGCTGGACCATCCCAGCGGCGACGTTGCAACTCGCTGGGCGCAGGGAATTCGCGGCTGCTGAAACCAAGAAAATCTACTCACTTGCAACTCCAAAGACAGTAATTGAGATTTAAGCATTGAAGAGGAGCATTGCAACCGCCTCATCACCGGACAATGGAACCTTTTGGAAGCCTTAAAATCAGTTTAATGGTTTATAGCAGGTTGGAGATGAGCAAATGCCCGGGAATACTTTGTAGTCGTCTGCTTTACACGCAAAAGGTTGCAAGTGCGAAACTCGCTGGAACCAACAAATTCTCTTTGCCTTTTGGGAAATGCTGGAGAGCCTTGATCATGGTTTTTGATGACTCACATTTTCTCAAAATCTCTGCATTGATGGTTTTAATGAAGAAGTTTTGAATATTTGGGGCATTCTAGAGCTGGAAAAAAAGTTTGGTCAATTCCACAGAATGGCACTTTCGGATGCATGACACAAGATGCCACCGTACAGAAAAAATTGCGCATATGCTGGTGTCTTTGTGGACGGGATGGGGAAGAACATTGGCTTGATGCATCTTTGCTCTCAAATGGAACAGAGAAATCGAAATACCTTCTGGAAAGCTTGACAAGAAACTTGCGTCTCAAAGAATAATCAAAACGTTAGAAAATATGAGTCATCACATGATCTTATACCAACAAAAACAAAAACGTTAAGTTGATGTGGTTTCTAGAAAACCTGAATCGTGCTTAAAGGAAACTTGTTCAGATTACTATTAAGATGGTTAAGATTGCTTCAGCAAAGAAAAGGAAAATATCTGACAACGAGGAAGACAGTGAAGTAGAAGCTAAGCTTATAAAATAGATAGACTTTCTGAAGAGGTAAATTGAAATCGTTTCTAGGAAATTAAGTAATATTGTTTCCAGAACACTGAGGAAACGCCTGACTAGGCAGAAGAGCAAACACCTGCTCTTAGGCCTGCTCCTAGCAAAACACGAAAGGCGAAGGTACTGCCAGAATTTTTTTAGAAGATCATGCTTTTCTTTTCCAGGGACTGGGCAAGGCGGGTTTAACCATAGCCGCAAAGAAGATCCTGAGGTGTCCACCAAATCAAGCTACAAAAGAGTCTCATCAATAGCAAGGGCTTTTCATGGAGGTAGTGTCACATACTGTTTGTTGGTTTTTTTTTGTGTGTTTCCTGACAAGTGCAATGCAGGTGGAGGAAGGGATGCCATCTAACAATAAGATGGACCTTGGGCAATAAGCGAAACTTAACCGCACGGTGGTCACCAAGGCATTCAAGTTCGGACGCATGCTGAAGAACATACTTCCAGTCAAAGCTTATGGCGAAGAAAATGACAGACCTCGATGTGTTAATTAAGTATATTGCATGCTGTTTATGCTAATCGAGTAGTGCAGCAGCAGGTCCAGTGCGATATTTTGTGGTGAAAAGGGTTGATGATCTCGACATTCTGGTGGAAACGAGCCCACCTGGATATTCTGGACAAGTTAAGTTTGAGGTTCTGGAGAGTTCTCTTGAACATGGGGTCCCTCTATAGCTGTAGACTGAAGTGCGAAGACAAGCTTGGTAAGGAATCCTACGATAGATATCAAGCAGCACTGAACAAGCACATTGGCTTAAAGAACTTTCCAATGGACTCATTATCCCAGTGAGGGAGAGAGAATTCGTGAGATAGTTCATACAAGTGTTTCTTATGCAGTTACCTGCAGGAGTTGCAAGATGCCTATGACAGAAAGATGCAGCAATTCTTGGGCAAAGTACCATTGTGATTTGCAATCTAAATTAATTCTCCTTAAAAAACTTGTGAAAATGACAAATAAATGAAATAAAGTAAACTTAAAATGATGACCATAATTCATTTTATTTATGAAGTTAATCCTTTCATTCCAAATGTTGATTTATTATGTGGTTACTTTAATGCTAATTTTGCTATGTTAACAATATATAAGATTATTGATTAATCCATAGAACAAAATTTTGAAGTAATAGGTATCCTAGTTAAGCCATCATATTTCAAAATTATTATGTATGTGAAAAAAGTCAAGACAATATTGTCTAGAATATAACAAAATTTAAAATTTAAAATAATTTAATATTTATTTAGATTTTACTATATATGAAGGACCTTATATAAATTAATTATCCTTAAAAACTTGTAAATATAAAAATAAAATAAAATAAAATGCATTTAAAATAATGACCACAATTCATTTATATATAATATATATGAATTTATATACAGAAAAGTGCATAAGATGAATTAATTTTTATTTTAAGTTTATCTAAATATAGTAAATTTTAAAATAAATAATAACTTATTATAATTTTTAATTTTTTCTATATTTTAAATAACATTCTTACTAATTTAACCAAGATATCTGCCACTTTGAAATTTTGTTCTATGACTATCTTATATATTATTTATATTACACAATTAGTGTCAAAATAATCACAACAATAAATCAATGGCTCTAATATAATAACTTGATAGCTTCAAAAGTTAAAATGTCAATATCTTTCTATTCAATTCTTTGTTTGAATATTTTGTATTTATAGAAAATTTTGTTAATGAAATTATTACTATATTTAAACCAAATATGTTATATAAAAGTGTAGCTTTAGTGGAAGGGGATATATTTTCTGAGTTAGCTAGTTAGCATTAAATAACACTTATAGGAGAAGTAAACAACATCCATT